ACCTGAGTAAACCAAAAAAAAGAAAAAAACTAAACCTGTTGCTGTCGAGTCGATTACCAACCCATAGGGACCCTAGAGGACAGAGCAGAACTGCCCCATAGGGTTTCCAAGGAGTGGCTGGTGGATTTGAACTGCCGACCTTTCGGTTAGCAGCCATATCACTTAACTACTGCACCACCAGGGCTCCATATTCCCACCTGAGTGGTGTCCTACAAAAGAGAAGAGACACAGAGAGACAGACAGGGAAAACGAACGTGTGACAATTGAGTTATGCTGCCGCTGCAAGCCAAAGAACATGCGGGGCTATCAGAACTGGGAGAGACAAGAAAAGATCTACTAGAGCCTTCGGAGGGAGCACGGCCCTGCTGACACCCTGAATTTGGACTACCAGAACTGTGAAACAATAAATTTCTGTTTTTCTAAGCCACCTGATTTGAGGTACTTTGTTATAGCAGCCCTCGGAAACTAATACACACGACTTTGCCAAGAGCCCCATCTTGTAAACTTCCCCGCATTCTCTGCAGAAGATCCTCATCTCCTACTTCACAGAGAAAGAGCAGACATAAAACAGGTTTCCCTTAACTTCTTGTCCCCGTACCTCTGCCTCCTGTTCAAGGCAGGCACCTCCACCTGTGCTCTGAGTCTCATCCTCTCCCACCTCTACCACCTTTGCTCCTCCTCTTTCTCCTGCATCTTCTACCTTCCCTTTAGTCTCTGCCTTCAGCCTACAAATATGTTCAAGTCTCTTCCACCCAAAATGCAAACAAGTAAAACCCCAAATACTCCTTTGATGCCATCTCCTCCCCTATCTTCCAATCTATCTCTAACTGCACCCCCTTTACAGCCATGCTTTTCAAAAGAAGAGTCTACATTCTCTGTTTCCAATTAGTCTCTTACCGTTCCAAACTCAGTTAATTCACTGCAGCCTGCCTTCAGACCCACACCTCCCAGAAACTGCTCTGGCCACAGTCACCAAGACTATCTTGCTGCTCATCTAGGGGACGCTTTGTGGCCTTTCCCTACATGAACCTCTCTGGAACAGTTGGTACTGTTGGGCCATCCCTCCTTTTATAAATGCTGTGTCCCCTCGACTGATGGGACATGACCCTCCAGTTTTCCTCCTCCTTCCCTCCTGCTTCCTCTGGATCTCCCTTGGCATCTTCCTGCTCCATTCTGGCCCCTAAACGCTAGGATTCTCTAGGCTCCACTCTTGGTCCTCTGCTTTTCTCTGTCTGTGTTCTGTCCCCAGGCATTTCATCCATACTCACGTCTTCAACTGCTCCATGGACCTAGTCCACTCTCCCATCCCCATCTTCATACCAGACCTCTCTCCTGAACTCCATGACTATACTTCCAACTGACTGCTGGATCCTGGATGCCTCAGACAACTCCAACCCAACATACCCTAAACAGAACTCATCTCCTTCCGAAGTGCTCCTCACTGCAGCAAATGGGTTCACTGACTGCCCAACCCAGAAATCTTGAAGTCACCCTGGACTCTTCCTCCCATCTCCTCCCACTCCTGCCAGCTATGGCCAATCTGGCTGCACAATGAGAATCTCCTAGAAAGCTTTCTAAACACAGCTTCCTGGGTCCTACCCTTGACTTACTTAATCCAAGTCTGCAGGGCTGGGAATTGGAATTTCAGAATCTGAAATCCAGTATCTGAATTTCTAGAAAACTCCCCCAGGTTGCTGTGACGCTTGGACCAAATCACAGATGAACGCAAGGGAACCACTCTTCTCTAGCCCATACTCTGATCCTCATCTCCACTGTCAGCATCACCAACAGCTAATCTAGCTCAGGGCAACAGCTGTTGCCCCCTCCAATCCATCCTCCACACTGCAACAGTGGCAGCTTTCAAAAGAACACAAAGGGGCCATGGCTTACCTCTGCTTCAGACCCTTCTGTGCGTCCACCCCTTGCCCTCAGGACAAAGTCCCAACCCAGGAACATGCATTCATGGCCCTTTGCCCTTGATGAAGTGATTTCTGCTCACCTCCTAGTCTCATCCCTTTCCTCATGCCCTCAGACTATGCGCTCCAGTCACCCTGTAGGATATGTGCATGGTCCCCTAAACACATAGCCCTGTTTTACAACTCCTGTCTTCACACTTGTTTTTTCTGATCCCCTCTAGGTCAACCCTTAAGGCTCAACCTAGGCTGAGCTAAACCCCTGACCCTCTGGCACTATGAGCCCACATAGTGATCACAGATATTCTAGGTTTCTCCTCCAGTTAGTGAACCCTCCAGGCAGAACTTGAATCTTGTTCAGTCACTATCCCCAGAGCTAAGCCTGGTTCCCAGCTCAAAGAGGCCTTTGGTAAGGGTTAGTGAATGGAAGGGTAAGAGAAGGGAAGAAAAAAGAGCAGCAGGAAGTTTTGGATGATTGGGGTAGTTCTGCGGTCTGTTTGTGGGCCCCAGCCAAGAGCTGGGTCTCTACCTGGCAGGGGCGTTATTGGATCTAAGGCTGGATCCACAGATGGGGCTTTTCTGCCCTCTTGTTCTTGGGGTTCCCTTGGTAGCCAGGCCGGTGCCGGTAGCCTGCCATCCCCACTCCATGCACCCCCTGGTGAGGTTTGGGGCCTCTGAGAAGTCCTAGCTCCTCCTGCTTGCCCTGGTTAACTCTGAACTTCCGTTAACAAGGACAGTGGGCCCACAGGACCCCAGGACCACCTCACACTCTAATGCTGAACTGGCTATGCCTTCCCTTCCCTGGACTGTGCCCCCACCCTTGTTCCCTGGCCTGGACAACAGCACCACTATCCTCCCCTCCCACCATAGCAACTCCAACCTGGGGGGTGGACACCTCCACCTGGCCCCCTCACCCTGTCTTCACTATTCCTCTAACTTGCCTCCTTCCCCAACCTGCCAATCGCCTTTGTGCCTCATCCACAGCCGGCTCTCCTCTGGGGCTTTCCCTGGGTTAAACTATGGTGCCGACTGCCAGCTACGCTGCCCTCCAGCCTCCTGCCCTGGGCCTTCCTCATCCCTGACCTTAAGACGGCTGAAGCCAAAGGGAACCCCTTGTTTGGGAAGGAAAATTGGTGCATGGGGGCCGAGGCTTGCTCTAGCTGGATGGCACCCCTGCTTTGCCCCTTACCATAGAGACACCAGTCCCCCACTTCCCTGTCAAGTGAGCTTGATTCTGTGCAGCTCCCATCCTCTGCCAGCTCCTTAATTTGCAGATCTCATTGCAAAATGAAAATGCAAGGCCCCTTGTTTAAAAATCTTAAGAATTTCAAGACAGCAACAGCAGAGCGAAGTGCAAGGCCTTGTTCACAAAGCTGGCCCTGCCTACACTCCTTCACAGCTGGTGATGGTCCCTCTCTCCTCTCCTTCCCTCGGCAGCTTTTGAGGCAGCTCTCAGGGCCTCAGGGCAGAAGCCCTGCCCCAGCCACCTCCAGAAGCCCAGGGCCCAATTCAGCAGGCCCTCAGCAGAGATTCCTCTAACCCCTGGTAGGCCTTCATCCCCCACATTGCCCCTGGACTATGGACAACTTACATCCTTCTCAAATTGATGCCTATTTACTGAGCCCCGCCTGGCTGAGCCTGAGGAAGGGAGGACAAGTTGATAAAGACTCAATCACTAAAAAAAAAGAAAAAACTCCAGTTTCCTTCCAATCGGTTCTGACTCATGGCAACCCCATGTGTGTTAAGAGTAGAACAGTGCTCCACAGGGTTTTCAATGGCTGATCTTTCAGAAGTAGATCACCAGGCCTTTATTCCGAGGAACCTGTGGGTGGACTAAACTGCCAACCTTTCAGTTAGGAGCCGAGCACCTAACCATTTGCACCACCCGGTGTCTCTGGACTCAATCGCTGTGCTCCAGTTTACAGCAGGGCTAAGACTTGAACAAGAGCTGGATCAAACAAAGATCCTGTGGGTTTAGTCAGGAAACTGAATTTCACAAAAATGATGGCAGAAAGATGGGCTTTGACGAAAGGGCAAGGATTTATTAACCAGAGGAGGAAACGGGCATTCCAGGGAGAGGGCACAGCCTGGGCACAAGCTTAGTGGTGGCAAGATACGTGGCAGGTTGTAGAAGCCTGAGATGTGCCATTTGGCAGAATAGCCGAGAGACTGGAGGGAAACGTGAGGTCGGCTGTGGAGACCTGTTAAGGGCCGCGGCAAAGTGTTCCTATTCCATCAGAGGACACAGTCAGGAGACTTTAGGGATGGTGCAAAGGCTTCCTTCACTTGGCCCTCCCAGCCTGCCCACAGAGTGCAAAGCCCCACTTTTCTGCAAAATTGACCGCACCTGCCCTGGTTCTGGAGCTCATTCAGTTCACCCCTCCTCACCCGCGGTCAGTGGGGAGCTACAAAGGAACTGGGGCTTCGGCCCCCTCCTGCTCTGAGAACACAGCTAAGAACGCACAGTCTCGCGGGATCCTGGGTTCTGCGCCCAGCGGTGCCCAGGCCTGTGTTGGTGGGAGTTAGAGGCTTTCCCGCCACTGGCTCCCATTGGTCCTGCGGCTGTGTGTATGGGGGGAGGGGTACGGAATAGGACCTCCAGCTGGGAGGGGAGGGGAACGGCCTGGCACCTCCAGAAGGCACGACTGGGGGTGGGGAGACAGCGGCTCCCACGCCCTAATGACCCTCTCCACTCCCACTTTAACTTTTCGTTCTGGACATTTTCAAACATATGCGAAACCAGAGACAATAGTATCATGATTCCCTATGGCCCCACCACCCAGTTTCAACAATCATCCATTCCTGGTCAATCTTGTTTCATCCAACCCTCTCCCACCACCCACTTTAAAGCAGGATGTGGGTGGCCCAGGGGTGGCAGAGGGCGCGGATAGGGCATCTCCGCCCGTTGCAGGGGAGCGGGTGCCAGGCTAGAGAAGGCTCAAGCGCCGAGCAGCAGAGTGGGGGCACGGTGGGGCGGGGAGCAGGGCTCACGCGGAGCCCGGACCGCGGGGGACCGGGGCGTGGCCGGCGGGGCGGGGCCCGGAAAGGGGTCGCAGAGGGGAGGCGCTAGCCTAGCGACTCAAGGCGCGTGGTGTTGGGCGCAGAGGGCCAGTCTCCGCCTTGCAGCTCAGAGTGTGCCAGCTGCACTGCCTCTGTCCGTGCCCGCGCCCGCCTTCCCGCCGCCGCCGCTACCATGCCCAACTTCGCCGGCACCTGGAAGATGCGCAGCAGTGAGAATTTCGACGAGCTACTCAAGGCATTGGGTAAGCTGGCGCGGATGGCGCGCCCCGACGCAGGGAAGTGGCTGAGTGTCCCGGGCCGGGAGGGTGTGGACGTTGGGGACCAGTCCCAGTCAGGAGGAAGTCCCCGAAGCGTTAGATCTGGGCGAACTCCAAGGGTCACCCGTCTCGGAGCGGCGAGTAGAGCCCAAGACCCACGCGTCCAGCCAACGTTTGCAGGATGATTGGCTTCTTCCCCGACGGTTTGGCCTTTATGTGGTGCTAGGTCATCACTAGAAGAGATTGTTACCCGAGTCCAAGGAAGGTCACGGACTTTAAAATTGGGGAATCAATTTGAGCATGCTCTGCCATGAATTCACTATGCAACTCAGGGAAAGCCACTTACCCTCTCTGAGCCTCAGTTTCTCATCTCGAAAATCAGGGCGGGGGCAGGGAGGAATGGATCAGTTTTTAGGCCGCTATCTATGGTCAGAGGGTTCGGGAAGGACCGGGCTGGTCCTGGGACGACGGGCCAGTGGCGAGGCTTTGTGAACCGAGCCTGCGGCGCACCTGCCTGTCTCGCGCAGGTGTGAACGCCATGCTGAGGAAGGTGGCGGTGGCGGCTGCATCCAAGCCGCACGTGGAGATCCGCCAGGACGGGGATCAGTTCTACATCAAGACGTCCACCACGGTGCGCACCACCGAGATCAACTTCAAGGTCGGAGAAGGCTTCGAGGAGGAGACAGTGGACGGACGCAAGTGCAGGGTGAGGCCCCAGAGCTCAGATAGCGTTCCCGGGTCCCTGCTTCCTGCCCACTGCCCGCTGCAATCTCTGCTCCTTCGCTGCATTGGGTTGAACCTATACATTGTCCTTTGCAGTCTGTGGCGCGCTTTCCTTGCAGGGCGTGTGCACTAGCTGTTTGCAGAGGGTCTGTGCAACCAGAGTGCCCTGGGCTCTGGAGAAAGTTCTACCCAATCCCATCCCTAAAATGCCTCCTGAGGTGCTAACAGCCGAGCTCAAAGCGCGGTCTCTGGGTTGCGCGGCGATCCCAGAGGTGGCTTCTGCAGCCCTTTGCTTCGCCCTCTGCGCAAGCACGGGCGGCGCGGGAGGAGGGCTTGCAGGGGCCGCTGGGTTCCCGGGCCGCACTGCTGCCACGTTTCCTGTCGCAGGTGGAGCCGCAGCTCCCGCGTCCCGCCCCCCGTGTGCCAGGGCCCCCTGGGAAGGCTCTGAATCCAGTTTCAGCAGTCCCCGATGGCCCTAGGCACCTCTCGCCGCCCTCGGCCTGATTCCTTAAAGGAACGGCGAAATCCTTTCAAAAGGAAGCATGTTCTGACTGGGAAAATGGACTAAGCAATGTCTCTTAGTCCTCAAGGGCAAGAGTTTTGTATTTCTCTGCACGTTAGCCCCAAGGATAAGCGTGTGGGCTGAAGCAAGGGGTTGTGCATTCTTTTTTGGCATGGGCAATAATTGCATTTGGTCCAGTCCTGTATATACAGGACAGATGGAAAAATAATCGCTACTGCTCCCACTCGTTTGAAAAGTGACAGAATGTCTCCCTTCATTTCGCCAACATTTTAAAAAAGAAAAAAGTAATAACATACCAGAGAGTGTGACATTGTTTCTTTCACCTTTCCTGAGCGCAGCCTGTCTTATCTACAGGCTGGGAATCTCTGGGCACTGGGCTTGGGAGAAGGGCCCAGAGACACAGTTCCCCAGGAACACGCTGAGCCATGCGGTAATATTTGGCTCCCAGAATTGGCATAACCTGAAAGTGAGGTCCAGGCTTGGAGGCTGGTAGGATCTGAGGTCCAAGGCACTGCATTGTTTGCAAAAACAGAAGAACAGAATGGTATAGTCAGAGTCTTAAAATGGATCCACTCCTCCCTGGGAGTCTAAGGGAGAAGGCTTGGCAATAGATAGGGCTCAACATGGGGTATCTGATGGTGGCTACTGCCAGGAAGGGCAATTCTGATTTAAAAAAAAAAAAAAAAAAAGCAAAGTTTCACAGGACAGCACGGAGAATGGGACTTTATTTATCCATCCCCCTTGCCCCCCACACACCCCCTGCCTAATGAACGTCTCCCATGCATTAATTAGTTAAAAAGCAATTATGTGCAAGTCAGTACTTGGCCATCCAGCTCACCCGAATAGTGCTGTTTCGTGCAGACACTGGAGAAAACCACAGGGAATCCCTCCCTTCGCCTCCCACCGCCATCAGCATGACTCTTCTGATAGGTGTGTTTTTTTATCCCCCTTCTGGAGGGAGGTAACCTGGAAAGTGGCAGCGTTTTTATCCTCAGAGCCAGAGACACCCAGGTTTATCCGAGGAGGCTGTGCTCTATGGCTGATGAGTACCGAAAGAAAGGAAGGCGTTTCCCCCCAAATCTCTGCAGGGAACAGCGCCCCTGATCTACAGATATGGTTGCAGACGTGGTGTCTTAACTGTTTTAATATTTTGTGGTTCCGATGTGAAGGTTCTTGCCTTTAAAATCAAACTTGCTTGAAGGGGGTAATCCATTTTGACATAAATGAATCATTGCACACCCTAAATTTTATTCCTCCGGATGTAAATCATGCCTAAGGCTTGGCTGCTTTGTTGAGTGTGTGTAGACAAGGTGTATTTATACCCCATAAAATCCGTGACCAGCTCTGAATTCGGACATTATAAGGCTCAGCGGAGAAGGTTCTGTGCCCTGCTGACAGGGACCATGTGTTGCTCCTCTGCAGAGCATTTACTCTCAGGGTGCTCATTGTTGTCTCTGCTCCTGCTGTGGAGACTGTAATTAATGTCACTAATGGTTTTCCTGCCTGCAGAGTTTAGCCACTTGGGAGAATGAGAACAAGATCCACTGCACACAAACTCTCCTCGAGGGGGATGGCCCCAAAACCTACTGGACCCGCGAGCTGGCCAACAACGAACTCATCCTGGTGAGAGCCCTTGGACCCTGAAACAAGCCCCCAACTCCCCAGAGGATGCCCGTGGCGGGCCACTCAAACGTGTCATCCTTGCTTGCCTACTCAGGGAGAGACATCACCAGCCCAGGGTTAAAATTTGAGCAGAAAGCCTGAGATGACAGTTTAGGTCAGAAATGATTGACATAAGACAGGAGTGGCTCAAAGGGCAGAGAAAGGGCTAGAGATACCGGCTGGTGTGCCTGCCACTATCCAGACTGACAAATCCCAGCGGTGATTTGCCTACCCTCCAGCTGGGCTCAGAATGCTCGGACCCGCGAGGTCCCGGGATTCACACTGTAGAAGGGATTTTTTTTTTTTCCTTCTCATTCCCCATTTTGCTGGCTAGGAAAGGTTTCAGAAATTTTAGCACGTCAACACTTTGGAGCCTTAGAGAACATTTACCCCTGGACCTACAATCCCCTGGCCTTTGGGACCCAGGCAAATGCTAAATGGAAAGTGTCTGAGCATAACACCAAGTGGAGGGCTGGAGCCTTTAGAACCGGAGGATGCAGGCTCTAGCTAACTTAAAGCTTTAAACATTTTAAAGACCCCTGGCCGAACAAAACTTCTCGGTGAGGCCAAGTTAGAAACCACTGTACTTTAATCCTATGGAGTACAGTTCTACTGTGCAACATGCGAGGTTGCCATGAGTTGGAACTGACTCAAGGGCAACTGTTTTTTAGTAGTTTAGCCATGCTCTCACTCCTTTTAGGAATGGGGCAAAGGAAGGTTGGAGAAGAGGACAACCCCCAGATCACTCTCGCTTTGTCTTTCAGAAGGACCCCTGGTGGCACAGTGGTTAAAACGCTTGGCTGCTAACCAAAAGGCTGGTGGGTTCGAACCCACCAGCCGCTCTGCGGGAGAAAGATCTGGCAGTGTGCTTCTGTAAAGATTTACAGCCTTGGAAACCCTGTGGGGCAGTTCTACTCTGTCCTATAGGGTCGCTGTGAGTTGGAATCAACTTGACAGCAATGAGTTTGTCTTTCAGAATAGACCAAGCTTTCCTTACAACCACCTTTTTCCCCTCTGACTAGAAAAGGGAAAAGCTGTTGTGGGCAACCAGGAAGTTATATCCTTTGTTCCCCATCAGGCATTGTGTTACCATTTCCCCTCTAAGACTGCCAGCCTGCCCCATCTTAGTGAATGTCAGTGCTGAAATGTGGTTGGGGATAGGAGGTGGCCAGGCGTTGTAGGAAAGAACTCGCTGTATGACCTGGGCATGGCCTGTCCCTTCTCAAGCCCCGTCCCCCTGCTATAAAATGAGGGGTTGAGCTAAAGTCTGATCCCCGACGTCCCTCTGAGCCCTGAAATTACATGTTTATTCTGCAAGAAGGCCCTAAATTGAGCCGTGTCTATTACTTTCACTGGGGCTGCTTGATTTCTCTCTCCTCTCCTCCTTCCCTGGGATGATTTAACGTGCTTTCTCGTTTCACAAAGGACTGGCTTAATTTGCAACCTGGTTAATGTTGTTTCCAGGGAAGGAACACTTGATGGGGGTACCGGAGCGATGTGAGACAGAGACATGGAAATTTAGGAGAAAAAGGCGCATACGGTTCAGTGTCACCAGAGACAGTGAAAAGGGAGATGATTTTCGAGTTCTTGAGTGTAGCGGAGGGTTTAAGTGAGATCAGTTTGCTCTTGAGAAAGTGTGTGATTTTATTAACCTCTGTGGTACCTAAGCAGCCAGAGTCATAGGCCAAGTTCAGCTAGGAGGACTCGGCCACTTCCAAATCTCCCTCCCCCTCCAACTACAGTTCCACCCGAGCATCCTTTCCTGGCTCAGCAAACATATGTACGAGCCCCAGAAGGAGCATTAATTCTTGGCATTTGGAATCTGAAATGCGGGCTTTTGCTTCAAGGGTTATTATCATTAATAAATCCAGAATTCAGGGAGATGCTATCTCCATATAACAAGAGGCAGATTATCCTAGTTAAGCTGAAATAAGTTCTCCCAGCGCCAACAGTAAATTGCCTCTGGGCTGTAAATTGCCTTCCTTTGAAAACTGAGTATACTCCCTCAAACCACTCGGGAACATTCTACAGAGAGTTTCTCTGGGCAACCTCTATGCATTGTTTGTAGGAAGCCCTGGTGGCACAACTTTTAAGCGCTCAGTTCCTAACCAAAAGGTTGGTGGTTCGAACGCACCCAGTGACATCGTGGGAGAAAGACCTGGCAGTCTGCTCCCATAAAGATTACAGCCTAGAAAACCATATGGAGGAGTTCTGCTCTGTCGCATGGGATCTCTATGGGTTGGAATCAACTCCTTGGCATTTAACAACATGCATTGTTTCCAGGCTAAAAAGGCCATTCCAAACATGGCAATTTCTTCTCATGTCATGAACCTATATGTTGGCCTGGGTAAAGTGTTGGATAGCTATCGTGGTTACAGCATGGGTGAAGAGCTGCACCCCAAACTTTAGCATTCCATCTGATACTCCACAGCTGTAGAATGCAAAAGAGTTCTAGAAAACTAACATGGTTCTGGGGACCAGACACCTGAGAGGTGAATATAAGCGGTGGGACAACCCTCTCCACCCTATCACACCCCCCACCCCACACACACACATATACAGCACACAGAATCATCTGCATTTTCCACTAATAGCAGAAGAGGACAGGACAGAGAGGTTGTCCAGAAACAAATACAACTGTGTCAGTCTAGTCAAAAGTTCCCTAGTTTGAAAAGAAGCTGGTAATGAGCATTTGCTTCCTTAATAATCACCAATGACTATCAGTATTTATTTCCCTGAAACACAAGTGTTAGAATTATGTCCTAGCAAATGTTCTCTGAGAGCATCTCATAACCAATGGAGAGCCTCAGGGGTAAGGATCTGAAGATCCTAGGACGTCCAAGCTCTCAGTCCAGTAGTTTTAACCGCTCTCGAGTCTCAGGCCAATTTGAAGGTCTGAAAACCAGGGACCTTCCTGCAGAAAAATGTACATCTGCAAACAAATATACCCACATGAGGTCTACAGACTGGGAATTTATGGGTTTTGGTTTTGTTTTTTTAACATATATATTGTTTTCCCTGATCCAACTGCTTCTGAGAAGCCCAAGAGAGCAAGCCTGTGAGTAATTACTAGTTTTGGAAGAGATGAGACAGTTTACTTATGGGCAATATCATTTCAGGGGCCAGCAGAAGAACATCCTCCCCCATCTATGGAATGGTGCATGCTCTCCCTCCCCTAGTAAAATGTCCATCCTCACCCTCCCAACAGCAAACAAACAAAAGCTATAGAATTTTACCTGGAAAGAGCCTTTTAGATCATCTTGTTCAATCCCACCCCTACCCACAGCCCCCCTAGCCCCAGAAGGCCAAGAGAGGAAGAGACTTGCCCAAGCTTACCTGGTGGTACAACAGTTAAGTGCTCAGCCACTAACCAAAAGGTTAGCAGTTTGAATCCACCCAGTGGCTCCATGGAAGAAAGACCTGGCAGTTTGCTCCCATAAAGATTACAGCCTAGAAAATCCTATGGGGCAGTTCTACTGTCACGTGGGGTTGCTATGAGTCGAAATCGACTTGATGGCACCTAACACCACCACCCAGCTTATGGGTTGAAGAGCTCAGTCTAATACCAATGCTGTACTTTTGCAGCTGAGACCAATTTTCTGGGCTTGCAGGTGACTTGAGTATTACAAGTATGCAACATCTCAGGCTGTCTCACAGGCTGGACTGCTGCTTCCTGGAAAGCAATTCTCCCTCTCCCAAGCATTCCCATCTGGTTGGTCAGACACCGTGGCTCCAGCGACCCAAGCCCCCTGCTCTCTTGAAGTCATATGAAGAGAGACAGAACCACTTCAGAAATGCCTAATATGACATTCTCCCCCTTTCATGTTTAATTTCAAAACCAAAGCCAGGAAACTTGCATCTCTTATGTCAGACTTCACAGGTTCCAGAAGCAAAGGAAAACTGCATATAACATAATTCTATACCCTGGTTGCCTCCCTGCTTAATAGAAAAAATAAAGAAACCTTAGTGCTTAGCATGAGTGAACAGCACAGGAAATTGAATATCTGTTACAAAAAGTTTTTTAACAGGGCAGTAATGGCCTTATTAGCGATATGCTTTAAACATTTTTCACAGGCATCCACGCTGATTGGTTTTCCTTTTCTTCTTTGCAGACGTTCGGCGCCGATGACGTGGTCTGCACAAGAATTTACGTTCGCGAGTGAAGGCAGCCGGCCTGCTCCAGCATTCGGGGTGGGTGGGATACGCCCTCCCCCGGGAATATGTCATAGGCCCAAGCTGCCGGTGACCTCCCTTTCCTCCATCGACATTAGGTGATCCCCTGGTTCTCCCCTGATAATGTTGTAGTGTTCCCCCCAAGGCCTTCATGCCTTTCATGTCCCTGGTGCTCCGTGGTTTGGCATTTGCATGGTTTCATCAGTCATTAAACTGGATGGACATAGCTCCTGGCTCCTCCCTTTCTTGGGTTGCCTCTTTAGTTCAACATGGGCTCACTGTGTTCCTGCCCTTCCTAGCTCTGTACTGGTCTGTGTGGCACTTTCAGCTTTAGCTTGCTGGCCTCGGCGTGGTGCTGTCAGCATGCACCAGGGGTTGCAAACTGGCTGCCCTCAGGCTGGATCCAGACTGCAGATCCAGGTGTGTTTGGGCCTCAGAGTGTTATTGTTTTTTTAATTGAATTAGTTGGTATACCCCCACTGTTCTCAGTAGGAAAGAGAGGCCACATTCTAAGGGTTGAGGAGAGTACCTAACGAAGGGACTATTTATACCAGTATGAGCAGGATATTAGAAAAAGTAATAATAATAATGAAGGATGGTGAGGCAAGCAGAGACTAGCAACAGGGAAACAATGACCACCCCTCGGCCTGAAGATGGAAGAGAAGGAGGGGTCACCAGACCAAAGGAGCTGTAACCTGGGAGAGGGGTCACCCTTCCGGAGCTGTGGCAATACATAGAGGAACACAGTCTCTGCCAAAACCATGGTCCCGGCCAGCATATGTGGGTTGGGGGTAAGCTTAGCACAAGGGAATATAAGTATCCTGACCGCTCACCTTTCAAGCTCTGATCTACCTGTTGTTCTGTTCATTGGCTAAATCCAACTGGAATCTAGAGGGCAAGGAAGTCGGGGGTAGGGGGAGGGTACTTGTCCACAGGGGTCAGCCTCCCACAGCATACATAGCAGGGTGGAAGATGGATCTGAATATGCAAACGGACAATAACCCACACAGTTGCCAACTTTTTAATTTGAAAACCATTTGTTCTAAGACTGATGTGTTAGTTGCACAACTCTGTGAATATACTAAAAGCCCCTGAATTGTATACTTTAAATGGGTGAATTGTATGGTATGTGAATTATATCTCAATATAGCTGTTAGGGGAGCCCTGGTGGCGCAGTGGTTGAGTTTGGCTGCTAAGCAAAAAGGTGGCAGTTCGAATCCACCAGCCACTCCTTGGAAAGCCTGTGGGGCAGTTCTACTCCACCCTATAGGGTTGCTATGAGTCTGAATCAACTCAACAGCAGTGGGTTTTTTGGTTATAGGTGTTATTTTTTTTAAAAAAGGAATGTACTGATCCCCCAGTTGTAATGCTGGGGAAGGTCACAGTACTGAAGGAGGAGCTGCAGGCACTGAGCTGCAGGGAGTAGAATCTTGACTCAGTGTCCCCTGAAATCCTCTCCATCTCTTACTCCATCTTGACTTTTTTATGCAACCGATTTGAGTCACATGACCACCCCTGGCCCAATCACAGCATATGAGGGAATGAGGGGCAATGATGGGCCAGGCCTGAGTCATGTGACTTCTGAGAGCCTCTTGGTCTTTTCCTGATGGTTTTAAGATGGCTGCAGCAGCTCCAGACCTCACAATCTCACAACATACTCAGTGCCAGGAAGCAGAGAATAACACCCCTTGTCTCATTGGCCAGAACTGGGTCACATAGCCAACTTTGGTTACCATGTGGATTGGGAAAATAAGCATTGACTTTCCCAGCTTCTGCTGTGGGAGGCAGTCAGGGGAGAGGGGGATTGGGAAGGACGGAGCAGGCAACCAACAAGTCTGCTGCTTCCAAGTCTTCTTGCTCCGGAGCAGGGTTTCCTGTACGATTCGCACTTTTCTTTAAATAGGGCTTGGAATCTCTGCCCTGCCTGCCGCTCAGGTATAATATGTATGATGCTATGTCCACCTGAGGCTACTTTTGCTGTTGGATGGTGTTTGAATTGAGTACTTGTATTTGCCCCGCAATGTCTGCCTTTCTGTGGGGACCTCCATTCAGGAACACTTGGATCTTTTAGCAAAATGTTGGCTCTCCATCAGATAATCAGCACATGTTTACAGAGTAGCCCACATGTGGTAAGCTCTGTGGGGATGCAGAGATGTGTAAGCCATTCCTGGCCTCAAGGACTGCCCAGGCTGGTTGGTGGAATATGACAGAAACCTACGAAACACGGAATGACAGCACAGGACCACAACAGAAGCCCCGTGCGCACAAAACAAACAAACAAAAAAACCAAACCCGTTGCCATTAAGTCGATTGTGACTCATAGCGACCCTATTGGACAGAGTAGAACTGCCCCAGAGGGTTTCCAAGGAGCAGCTGGTGGATTTGAAGTGCCGACCTTTCGGTTAGGAGCCGAGCTCTTAACCACCGTGTCACCTGGGCTCCAAGGCAGGCTGTAATTGCATGCCTGGTGAGGCAGACAGACACCAAAGGGCTCCAATTTCGGAGGGTAAGGACAGGCGGAGAAGATGCCCTGCAGGACATGGGTAATGCGTAAGATCAGAGAAGCCGAGGAGTCGAATCAGGGTCAGAACCCATCTGGCTGGCAGGCAAGGTCTGTGTAGGGGTCTGTAAAGCTCCCAGCACTTAACTTATGCTAACGCCTTTAATCTCTGCACCAACCAAGCCAACTAGGTTTTATTGTCCTCGTTTTACAGATCAAGGCACCAAGCCTCCAAGTAGTTAAATAATTTATTCAAGCTTTTCTAGCCAGCATGGGGAATGGTATAACCACATTCCATGCCTGCCGATTTTTTTCCCTCCTATTCCCTCTCTTCTGGAGCCCTGGTGGCAGAGTGGTTAAGAGATATGCTGCTAACCAAAAAGTCAGCAGTTTGAATTCACCAGCCGCTGCTTGGAAACCCTGTAAGGCAGTTCTTCTCTGTCCTATAGGGTCCCTATGAGTGGGAATTGACTCACAGCGATGGGTTTGGGTTTTTTGTCCCTCTCTTCTATTAACAGGCTCTGCCCCTAGCCATAGATCCAAGTGTTCCTGAATGGAAGTCCCCACAGAAAGGCAGACATTGCGGGGCAAATACAAGTACTCAATTCAAACACCATCCAACAGCAAAAGTAGCCTCAGGTGGACATAGCATTATACATATTATACCTGAGCGGCAGGCAGGGCAGAGATTCCAAGCCCTATTTAAAGAAAAGTGCGAATCGTACAGGACACCCTGCTCCGGAGCAAGAAGACTTGGAAGCAGCAGACTTGTTGGTTGCCTGCTCCGTCCTTCCCAATCCCCCTCTCCCCTGACTGCCTCCCACAGCAGAAACTGGGAAAGTCAGTGCTTATTTTCCCAATCCACATTGTAACTAAAGTTGGCTATGTGACCCAGTTCTGGCCAATGAGACAAGGGGTGTTATTCTCTGCTTCCTGGCACTGAGTATGGTGTGAGATTGTGAGGTCTGGAGCTGCTGCAGCCATCCTAAAACCATCAGGAAAAGACCAAGAGGCTCTCAGAGATGTCAGCTCAGCATCACTGAGACAATGCAGCTGCTACCTCTCTTTGGATGTACTATTGATGGTGATGAAAAAAGCAAGCAAGCAAGCTCCTGTTTGTTTGTTGTTGTTAGATGCTGTAGAGATGACTCCGACTCAGGCAACCTTACGTATAACAGGATGAAATGTTGCCTGGTCCCATGCCATCTTCATGATCATTAGTATGTTTGAGTCCTCTTCAATTTGTCATTCCTGGCATAGTAGACCATATGATTGTCAGATTCAAAATGGCCAATGCCAGTCCATTTTAGCTCACGAAGCCTAGGATATCAATTTCAAGCATTCCATTTTACTTTGGGGACTTCCAATTTTCCTTGATTCATAGTTTGTACATTTCATGTTTCGATGATTAATGGATGTTTGCAGCTGTTACTTCTCATTTAGTGATACTCTATTAGCAACTGAAGGTCCTGAAGGCTTTACTCCATCTGTGTCATTAAGGTCAACTCTCCTTTGAGGAGGAAGCTCTTTCTCAGCTGTATTTTGAGGGCCTTTCAGCATGAGGGGCTCTTCGATTACTATATCAGACAATATTCTGTTGTTATCCATAAGGTTTTCATTGACTGATTTCCAGAAGTAAATTGCCATGCCTTTCTTCTTAGTCTGTCTCAGTCTGGAAGCTCTGCTGAAATCTGTCCACCACGAGTGACCCTGCTGGTATTTGAAATACTGGTAGTATAGCTTCGATCAGTATACCAGCCTGAAAGCCACCACAGTACAGCAAACTGACAGACAGACAGACAGCATTCTTATTCAGTGGCTTGCATACCTGCCGCTGAAAGCATTCCTAATATCAAGGTAATGTAAAGATGGACAGAGACCTGTCTGGCTTACAGATTCCTAGAAAGACTTGTCTTCATGATTACTACCAGTGCCATGCAACTAGATAATTTGCCATCTTGTTCAAAGGAATAAAAAATGTCAAAATACTTTATAGAAGTTAAGACCCCATTCGTATTGTAACATCTTTCTTAATCCCCTCCTACTTCGGTCCTTTCTCATAACCATGACAGCCTTTCAGAATAAACAACAAGGATGTTATCAGAGGGAATGTGGGCAGCAAGCTTGCAAATGCAGCCTCCACACCACCAACCTGGCCCCACCCACCTTTCTCAGCACCATCTGTCCTCTGCCAGTACAATCCGGTGGTCTTCCCTCCTTCTTGACACCTTTACTGCCCATTAGTGTCAGAAAGGTTTTCAGATCTTGTCAAAAACATCACTTGTGGCTATGATCGCCCCTCCCAATGTCCAGCTAACACTGTGCCCTAAGATAAAAGAAGTGCAGGATGTCACTGGGTGAAAAATTAACCTTTGCCAAGTCCTCAAAGGGACAGGTAAATGCAAATCAGAGTGGACTTGAAATCTCCCTTGACTCCAGACCCTTAAATTGAATGGACAGTTGTGCTTATCCCAGTTCCATGGGCGTCCCTCCCTTTCCAAGCATCCCCGGTAGTGAAAAGATGGAGGCCCAGAGAGGGGAAATGACTTGCCTAAGGTCTCCATTTAGGTGCTCATCAAGATCAGGAGGGCTTCCTTCTCTGGACTGAGCTGCCTTCTTTTTTTTTTTGTTTAATAAAAAATATATAAACAAAAAACTTTGTTATAGAAAATTTCAAGCATACACAAAATCAGAGAGAATAGTATAATGATTCCCATGTACCCCCCACTC